GCCAGCGTCTGATCCCATACAAAAACTGGGAGATTCCATTCTAGTTTTTTGTTCAAATTAATGCACCTGCAACCCCTCACCAGGGCATCCACCTTGGTAAATATAAGAAAGACCCATTCATAGACAACCATTATATAATATTAATGCTTCATTTCATAGAAAGTTTTTTTATACTTTTCAAACAAGTTGAAACACACATCAAGGCAGGTTTTTTCTAAGAAGAAAATGCACAAAATTTAGAATGTAGAGTTTCATTCTGATTTGCTTAGATTGTCCAGTTCCTTTATTGTGAAGCAAGTATAGAGCCCATATAATATGGTGTTTTACAAGAGGTAAAATGTTGAGCATTGGTGCAAACTTTTTGTAAAGCTTTTTGTTAATATGTGTCAAGAGCCTGAAGTTACTCCAGGAAGTTCTATCCTGAGTAAAGAAAGTAATCATAAATATGGAAAAGACTTTATATACAAAGATGTTCAACATGGGATTATTTAAAGTAGTTAAAGTGGTATAATCTAAATTCTCCAAAATTGGGAACTAGATATGCAAATGAGGATAAATTCCAAGTATGGTATTTTATGATGTATATGAAGATTTATGATGATACGGTATATAATTTAGGAACACACTTAGCTGCCAATAACAGAAAAACCCAACCAACAGTAGCTTTAACAAAAAGAGGTTTGTTCTTACATAATGAGAAGCCAGGGGGCCAGTGGCCGCTATTTTTAGCATAGCCGCTCAGTGATAACATCAGAACTCAGGCTCTTTGGGGTGGTGCAGTGTGTCACTGACAAGCCTTAGCTTTTTATCCTTGCTGCTCATAGTAGTAAGATGACTTCTGAGGTTTCGAGTATCACATCTGTTTTCAAGGCAGGGACCTGGGGAAAATGGTGGTATCAGAAATGTCTCCTCTTGTGCTTGTCTCTTTCACCAGGAAGTGAAACATCTTTCCCAGAAGACCCCATTTGTGGCTCACGGTCCAGCACTGTTTCTCATGGCCACCACTAGCTTTCAGGGAGATTGAGCCAGTGGTTGTTGACCTTCCCTCCTCTCTAGCAGAGGCAGGAATGGCAGAAGGAAGTAGTCATCAGCAGTATGCAGGGGAGGGACTGAAGGCGGGTGGGAGGGAGAACGCAGAATGGGAAGGAAGTTGAAGCAGCCATACTGAAACATGGCGGTGGGTTGGGGAGGATAACTTTACAATCTTGTCCCAGCCTCAGGGTCAATGTTCGATTTCTCCCAAGGGGGGGACTAGAGAGTAGACTGCCTCCAGGGAACCTTTAAATGGAAGCTGGACAGTGAAGCTGATGGAGGGCTATTTCTGTACCAAAAAGTTCTTTATTTTTACAGAATTTTCAGCTAGCTATCTCACTGTTTTGAATCTCTCCAATCTGTAAGGTATCCTGGAAGTGTGATGTGGTATAATACGATGGTTAGGACCAGGCATTGGAATCTGGCAGACAGGAACAAAACCTATGTCAGCCACTTACTCGCTGTGTGACCATGGGCAAGTTACATGTCTTCTCTGATCTTCAGTTTCCTCATCTTTAAAATGTAAAAATAACAACAATAACATAATCATTATTGTTGTTATTATTAGTTATTATAGTAATAACTACCTTCCTCTTTTATTCTGAGGATAAATATGACCAGGAATGTAAAGCACATAGCTACATGCTGCAAGTCAGCTGATCTTATTTGAGATAGATATTAATTTATCCAGTAAGACAGGAGACTAAGTAAGAGAGCAGACTAAGCAGAAGAAGAAATATTAGCAAAGGATGAAAACAAGTAAGAGAGCAGACTAAGCAGAAGAAGAGTATTAGCAAAGGATGATAATAATACATAACACTGCTGAGACTATGTCGGAAAGTGTTTTACTTGCATTACCTCGCTGAATTCCCACCACAAGTGGCGTGGTGGTACATTAGTCAGGTTAATAGAGGTTATGCTGTGGTAGAAATCACTCCCAAATCTCAGTGGCTTCGTAACTACAGAAGTTTATTTCTCACTCACGCAAAATCACGTGATGGGCATAGTCGCTAGTAGCAGCACTCCAAGCTGCTTTGATTGTTTGGGATCGTGCAGCCATGGTCACTGAGGCAGGGCATACTGACCATGTTTCTAGCTTCTGGGAACTTGATGTTTTAACAACTGCCTTACATGCATATGCTGGACATGCCTTGCTCTGGGCAACCCAGTGATATGACTGAGTCACCTTGCTTCCTCCTGTCTCTATTGTCACCTTCTCCCCGGGAAGGGTCCTTCTCCCAAGGGCATACTCTCAATTAAAAACCAACCAAACAACACCACAACCACCTCTTCCATTGGGCTCTCATACCCAGGACCACTGTCCACCTGCCCTAATCACTCCAGGGCCAGGAACCAGACAACTAGGGACAGCTCCTATGTGCTAGGATCTGCTGAAACAATTCAGACTAGCCAACCCTAGGCCTGCCTGCCCTGTCTCTTCATTCCTTCCTGTAGAAACTACAAAAAAAGCCCTTGTCCATAGTTCCTTCCTTTCCCTCTGCCTTGTGATGCACCCTGGGACTTCCTGTGTGACCCCTGCAAGGCACAGTGTTTGCCTCTTTCTCCTGGAGACCGGGAATAGTAAATTGTCTTTGCAATGGTGATCATTTCCTTATTGGTTGGCCTCAGTATACCTCAAATTTTCTGTTAATACACTATATTTTAAAACCCAGGGGAAGAAAGAACATGGAAAAACCACACTTTAGCCCTGGAATGCTTCCATCCAGACAAGTTCATGCCCATCCGCACAAGGATGAGGAGGTGCAGTCCTTCTGTGTGTGCAAAGAACACACGCTGTTCATACTGGTGAGCAGGGCTTACATCAATCACAGATGGATTTGTAGTCAACTTCAGAGTAACAAACAGTGAGCTTTTACCCAGCGGGGGACGGGGATGGAAACAGATACACATCTGACCCCCGGTCCTTAGAGACCCACATGTGAGCCAATGGGCAAGTTAGCTGGGCACTTATCATTTAGCCCTTTTGTTCGTTTTACCAAGAGTTTACCTTTGGTACCAAGGAAGCCCACCAAATCCACAGATTCTCCGTGACTTACTTTAATGAATTTTCATCACCATGTCAAAATAAAAATTTGGTATCTTTCCCTTTTCAAATTCCTAGGAACCTAATAGTCTTCCACGAGGTTTCAAAAATAATTGCCAGCTGGCTTGCCCTCCCTCCATTCTCTCCTATTGTGCTCTGCAGTGATTTTCCTCCCCTGGGCATTCTGAGACACACTGCTCCTCTGTGCTCTTTCCTCATTGACTGTTATTACCTTAAGTATTCTTCTTGCTATTACCTTTGTCACCAAGCCTGCTCCTAAGACAGGCCAGGCCTTCTGTCCTTTTTCTATAATTTCCTATTTGCTCTTTTTCCCTGTTAAGAAACCAATCCACACTTTCTTTTTGTCATCTTTTTTTCCCCCTTTCTTGAATATCTTCAACATGCTATTTTTCTCTTCTGTGACTTTTCCCCCTTTACTAACAGCGTCTATTCTATGGGCCTGCCCCCACCCACTTGGTCCACACCTGTCTTGCTTCCTTCTCTGCCACCGTAATTTCTCATGCATGCCTTTTCCATGGTCCACTTCCCATTCTGATGTCTTTTAAAACATCACCCTTGTCTCTACTTATGTTTCTGTTAGAAATTATTATAGCATTAAGTCATTAAAATCTGTATCACTTAGCTGTGTCATTTTACTGCCACCCTGTCAGAGACCTTTGGCTATAACAATATAATGGAATATTATTCTCATGCATACAGTGAAAAAGAGAGGGGCAAAGTGACAGGAAGAGAAAACAGAGACTGAACGTAAAAGTAAATTACAAAGGGTCTGCACAAAGCGAATGGAAGAATGAAACCATCAATCAATGAATTTTTTTCAACATAGATGGTCAATTCAAATTATTCTGGTAGGAAAAAAAATTCTGCAGGCCAGCTGGCTGGCAGAAAAACAAAAACTCTCCAACCCCTTGTCCCTCCTAATGTCATTTTCTTCCTAAATTATTTCTCAGTTTATCCTGGGTTTATTCATTTATGTAATACATATTTACTGTGTGCCGGGTGGAAATGAGACACATTCTCCATTTGCACATACCCCAGAAACTCTGGGGTTTGGTGCAGACCCCAGCTCTTGTAGGTATCCGCACAAGGAGGTTCAGAATTTTATTCAAATTAATTTCCAAAAATGATTTGTCATGAGATCTGCTGGACTGCAGGAACTGTATTTCTCAGTGGGCTCCAGGTACTTTCATCACAAATCAGAAGGTCTAAGTTGGTGGGGGCTTCTGGTCCTTCAGCCCCTTTGCAGCCTGGCCACGCCAGCCACTGTACACGACCTCACCGTGCTCCCTTCAGCAGTAGAAGGGGAATGGTTCAGCCCACATATGTGGAGTTTGTGGAAGACTTTCAGAGAGAGTGATAGGAGGAAAACAGAGAGGCCTGGAGAGTAACAGCTATAGTTTAGATGAAATGTGCTAAGGAAGGAAGCAGTGGAGAGAAAAGATGACTTTAACTGTTATTAAAAATACACGTTCAGGGCCCCTGGGTGGTGCAGCTGGTTGAGCATCCTACTCTTGGTTTCAGTTCAGTTCATGATCTCGGGGTTGTGAGATCAAGCCCCGCATTGGCTCCGTGCTCAGCAAGAAGTCTGCTTGAGATTCTCTCTCCCTTTCCCTCTGCCCCTCCCCCCCGTGAGCTTGCATGTGCGTGCTCTCTCGCTCTCTCTCTCAAATAAATAAATAAGTCTTAAAAAAAAATACACTTTCTTCTTTGTAATATCCGGGAAGGACTGAAAAGATTTGAAATATGCATAATTACTTCTGGTTTCTAGGTTGTGTTTCTTTGCATGAGACAACATAGACAGATTGGACCACATGGGGTTTCAGAATTTATTTGGATTACATTGGATTACCTATGACCTTAAGCAAGTCACTCACCTCCCTTAGAAAAAAAAAAACTTTCTAACCTGGAGGAATTGATGATGAGATGACACATGAAAACTCTGAAAAGTGATCATTTAATCCACAGACGGTAAAGAGGAACTGGAGGCTGATACTACAGCTCACATAGGTAGCTCTTCGGCAGGGCCGATGTGTTCTCTGGCCAGCCTCCATTTGGATTGCCTGGTGTCCATGCTGTGTAGGGTATTAAACATGTTTAATACCACCCTGGCTTCAGATGATTCTTACATATAGTTACCTGTTCAGGTAACTATCTAACCCTAGAGTCAAGGATTGTGGCGGAAAAACCATCTAAACAGAACCTTTTACATAATCATCACAATGAGACTGATTCCTGCTGGGAATTCTACATCTAACACAATGGGAATATTGACTAGTATGGTTATCATTTCTGGGAGTCACTGGAACTTCTGGTGTAGGGCAAGAAAGCCCACAGAACAGGCATTTGTTTGGAATAATTAGAGGAAGTTACATCTGGATCCAGGGACGTGGTCTCCAGGGAGTAGTCTCCTAAACCATTTACTCTGACACCCCCGTGGTAGAGAACTGAGTCTCAGTACTGAAGTGAGACCCCCCGCTGCATGACACCTGGATAAGTCTGATAGACCAACACACAAGGCTGAACTGAAGGCTATCGCGTGCCCTTAGCAATCAAAATGTCCTGAGAAAGGGTCAGCAACAAGCTAAGCAGCGCTGTGAATTTTAGCCTTTCTCACAAGAGAGCAGTATGATTTTTCATTCTTGTTTCATTCTGTTCTCGTTGAGAGCAGAAAATTTACCTGCCAGCACCCTTCCCCAACCTGCCTCTGTGTCTGTGCTCTTGATGTTTGCTTTGTGAAGAAACTGCTTAGGTGGCTCATGAGCCACGCTACCCAGGCTGAACAGCCACTGGAGAGAAAAGAGATGGATTCTACCCCCAACTGAGGACAGCATCTTGCTTTCAAGTTGACATTAAACTTCAAATTGTCCAGAGAGGCTTGAAGGCAAGTGCTTCCAGATCCCCATCGGCACCTTAAGTGGCCAGATGAGAACTCCTCAAAGGCACTCCTTCTAGCCAAGAGTGATCTTGGCTGCTTGAAGCAGGCATACACAGCCCTTACCATGGAACCAAGTCTTTCATATATCCCACCATTGTGATTCCCAACCCAGTAAAGGGGTTTCAGAGATCAAGGAACAAATCTCTCTCAGAATGTCCAAGTCAGGCTGGGGTTACTGCCACCTGCTTACAGGAACACAACAATCTGCCAGAATAAAAATCCCTGGGGAATGGTATCTTAGAAATAGGGATGGGGGCACTATCTCCAACTGTCAAAAATCAGAGCAAACAAATTGGCTCAATAAATGGCCAGAAAGTATCTGCCAGATTCAATGACTCATCTATCCAATTCATTCATTTATTCAACAAATATTTATAAAGCCTGATATTCGCTAAGTGCTTGGGATGCACCAATGAACATAATAAACAACAAGCATACTAATAGTAAGCAGCATAGTATGGTAAAAGTCTTAAGTACTATTCGAGGGAAAAAAAGCAGAGTAATACAAGATATGTGATTAGGAGGGCAGGCTGCAATATTAAATCGGAATAAATCAGGAGGGTTAAATCGGGAATAGGAAAAATGGTGAGATTGCTCTCTAAGCAACATCTCTCTTCCAAACATCTGTGGACAGGGGCTGTTTCCCCAGCATCCATCCATTCTCCTCTCAGTAACTTCCCTAGGTTTTACACTGATATCCATACCTCTGCCATATAGCCCTTCTGGCCCATGAAGGGAAAGTGCCTCAGGCCCAAGGACAATCAACGTAACCCTCTGTCCTGCCCAGGTATTGACTCAAGGGCGTGCCCTTGACCCAATCAGAACTATAGATCTAAAGAAGCTATTTCATAGCGGGTCCTAAAAAAGATATCTTCATTTCCTGGCTCTTGTATGGCAGCCCGATGTAATCTCAGTAACTGCCTCGGGCATTTTGCAGTGAAGCAGTGGAGCTAAGGACTGTATCAGCACACAGAGGTCAGAGTTAAGAAAATCCCCGAGGGCCAGACCTGGATCAAATCATGCCTCTGGATGCTTTGTTAGAATAAGCCGATGAACGATGAATGCGCTTTCCTATACAGACCAAAGTTAAGTTTTTTGTTACTTGCAACCCAAAGCATCTCAGCCCATAAACCAGACCAAGGGCTACTATGCACAGGAGACCCGCCTCATGAACACATGTGAAATGTCTTTCCTATCCTAAATTTAACCTTTCTGTATTAGAGCCACAATTTATAGACAAAAATCAACATTTTTTTTGTGAGTCACAGAGAAACGACTGCTTAAATCAGTAAAAGAGATACTTCCAAAAAACTAAAAATAGTAGAATATATTGCATTAGAAATGAAAGGTGCAGATGTTAAGGCAGGCTTAGGAGGATCAATTCTAAGGTAATTTAGGGGAAGGAAATGACAGACACTCTCGACCTCCAGCATTGTAAATTGTTTCTTGATTCCCTCTTAATGAAAATATCGCATTTTCTCATTTCTTTTCAGCAATATAGTCGATGGATTGTGGGGTTTTTTGCCCTTTTTTTGCTTTTACTTTTTGCATAGACTTGGTATTTTTGTTTTTAATAAAAGTGGAGGTGTTTCTGAGAATTTCTATTGCAACAGCAGGGCTTGAACTTCAGGACAGCTGAAAGGAAGAGTGTGTGCTGTTTCCATGGAAACCATAGCAGTATAATGTCAGGTACTAAGAGACATCAAGAATGAAGGGATAAAATCCCTGCATCATTTTAATAAACACGTCCTACTTACCGCTATTTAACCACATGTATTTAACCATACATACGCTGTCTCTTTTAATAGCCACTCTTCATAAATTTCTTTTGACCACATCTAACCTTTCTAAGTTGGTCCTGATTATGCTGCTAAGTAAATAAAGATGAAAAGAATGCCCTTCATTAGACTATTACAAATGCTTTATTATTCTGAAAACTCATTAGCCATATATATGTTTTAATTAGAAAATAGTACTACGGGGACTCAATAATAAGGGTTAACGGAAACCCACAAAGACAAACAGGTAAATTAAACAGGGCTGACATTTTGTCCTTAGTTCCTCATCTCATATTACACGCCCCATTCTGGGTTATTTGCAGTAGAAAAAAATAAATAAATGAAACAGTTATTACCCCAACCCCTCTCTTACTGATGCCTCTCCCCTCAAGTTTATGTTCCAAAAGTATCCTGTCTGGCAGCAAGAAAACTACCTCCAAGCCTCCAGTCTCCCAGGCAGCAAGGGATGTAGCCAAATGCTTACGAGCCCCACCCTGGGCCCTCTCCTGAGGCAACCTGGCGAAGTAAATGCCTGTCAACAGTTCTTTGCAGCTTCCTGGTCTTTGCTCTCCCCACCTCCCTCCAAACAAGGGGTCAGTTCTCAACTCTTCCCTCAAGGCCTGGCCTCCACACATCCATTAGCAATCAAGAAGGAAGGTTGAGAGAAGGGGGGAAGGCAGCAAGGAAGGAAAGTGGAGGGGCCAGGAGGGTGAGGAAGCTGGACAGCACCCTAAATCAACTCAAGGGAAGAAAGACTGAGGGTTTCTTCACTCTAACAAGGATGCTTCTAAGGGACACTGGTTGGGAGGAATGATTCGTATGTAGTCCTATACGGAATCCCTTCATTTGTTTCCCAAACTCAGGTAAGGGAAATCGTGCCAAATTTCAAATAAAATGAAGTGCAACTCCATTAGGGCCAGTGAACAGAACTCAGCGAACAAGCTCTGTCTACACCGTGTGGCCTAAGAAATGATAAACACTGCAGGGAAAAGGAGCCTTTTCTCCTTTTAGGAGGTAATAATTAGAATAGAAAGTAGTAAGCCCCTGGTAGTCAGGGACTTCACAAAGCCACTTGGGATTCACAGCCAAAGCCAGAGGGCTAAGGGCCTTCTGATAACTGCTGAGCTACAGAGTGAGGGGCTGGTGTGCCAGAGGGAAGTCGTGAAGACAGGAAGCAGCAAACATGACAATCCTTATAAGAGCTCCCCAGGGTCACCTGATCCAGAGAAGGGATGCACGGAGCTGAGGCCCAGCAAGTGCCTGATTAAGGAATATGATTCAGAGTTTAAGATCTGGATCCCCTTTTCCTAACTGTATTCCTCCTGTTGGGTTCTGTTATAATCCAGAAAAAAACAGGAGGGTTATCACTAAATTATCACCAGGTCCAAGGGAACCAAAAGACTGAGAAGCACAATCCTGCCCCCAGGAGGTCACAGTCGGGATGCCAACAGGAAAATTCCTTGTTGGACCCAGTCACCACCATCACCCCACACAGGCGCACCCCCCCACACACACACACCCCACTCACTGGAAACTAAACTGCTCCAGGTTTTAGGTTTATATGTGGCATAAAAATACCCAAACAACGGACTTAACTACAGATAAAATCCCAAAAGATGACCTGAAGTCTTGTGGAATAATCTGTCACAACCTTTTAAAGAGACGATGAGCCTACATTTCATGTAATCATCTGATTCTGCATAAAAGTTTCATGTGCAATATTAAATACCTTTTTGTGTTTATCAGTTTAGTGGCTCTGGAATCATGATGCCAGTAAAGCCAGTCTATTTGGACAGCAATAATCTGGTCCTTTGATCTTCAATAATCTGTTAGTTTAGAATATACGAATGACCTTCAGATGGGTTTCCCTCTCTACCCCCACATGAAGATTCTCCCACAAAGCAAAAAAGTGACAAAAGCAGAATGTGATCACCATTCCTCGATCCGAGAATCAGAGAAAATAGTATTCCAGAAGACATAGATCCAGCCAGTTAACTGTAATAACGTATTTTTAAAATGCCAAGACTTTATTAGAGTTGAATAATTTATTCGGTGCTCTTGACTTATTGTATTCCCAAATCTCATCTGCCTCAGCATAGTCTGACTATCTCAAGGAAGTTTCTATGGGCAAAAGGGATCCAATCTCATTGACCACAACCACAGAGAATCTTAAATAAATATTTTAAGTGAAGCAGGATGGGACAAGTGTCCTGATCCTTAGGAAATGGGAGTCTTAGGGAATGGGAAGAGTAGGAGAAAATGCACTTGGTGTCTACAGCTAAGTCATCTAGTTCAATCTTGAAGATAATTTAGAGAGCATCGAGTCCAGTTGTGGCCAGTTCTTGCCTAGCACATTAGATTTGGCCTCTGACATTTCAAACGAACTGATGCCTCTCGAACAGCTTACCTGGGACGTGAGTGAGCGGGTTTGCCACAAGCCTTTATGGTCTAGCTCTG